CCCACAGCGTCCATTGAGCCTGGATTTCTGAGGGACCCGGTGCGATGCCCTGGCCAGGCCTCCCTTGGTGCCTCACACCTAGGAGTTGGCCTTTCCCATCCCACTGGAGTATCAGAATGGGACAGTCCCTCACTATCTTCAGCCAGCCACAAGCACACCTCACAGAGGTTGCAGTGCCAGCTTGGGAAGTGCCTCGACCCTCATGCCTTTTGAGTAGACTACCCTCTGGCTTTTCTAGATGCCTCTGAATCTTTGTGCCCACCTTCACTTCTTTCCAAGGCCCCCAAACTCTGACCTGAACCCCTAACCCTACAGCAAGAACTAGGACATGTATGCTGTGACAGCTCGCTGTCACTGGGACCACACCTCTGATGAACACCCTCATGCTGCAGGTCCTGGCTCAGACTCGCCTGGGAAATGGACGGTGGATGACTCCAGAGAGTATTCAGGAGATGTACTCCGCGATCAAGGCCGATCCTGATGGGGACGGTGAGCTCACACCTCACCACACTTCTGTCCCTGGGAGCCTCCGGCTCACTTTCACGTACACCATCTTGAACGCTTAGTCACTGCCCACATCGCAACCAGGGCAGCCCCTCTGCCCAGCATCTAAGCTTCTATGTGGAGGGGGTGGCTCAGCCTTGCTCCTCACCACTGGGAGGAAGGCAGGCGGCCCGTCCCTCCCAGACCACTTAGCGACGCCTGAGACCAAATCTTGGCGACCTTGTTGACTTTCTAAGGCAGTTTGAGGTGTAGGAGATGGGACTCTTGGTGGGCAAAGTAACCAGATTGGAAGCAAGGCCAGACTTGAGCATGGCTGCTGGCCCAGCTGCGTCAGCCTCTCTCCAGCCATGTTGGGTCCACCTCTGTGCACAGCCTCCCTGGTCTAACTGAAGTCTCCGTCCTTTCTCCTGTCACCTCGAGCTGTGCTGTTGCTAACTACTCGGGTAAATGTGGTCAGAGACGCTGCCCTGCTTCCCTCTCCCCTTTGAGAAATTCCCAGGAAGTTTCCAAGGTGGGGTGGTCACCCTCATGCTGAAGTTCTGGATCAAGTGAGGAAGATGCAGCAGGGAAACGGGGCATGGAGTAACAACCATGTGGCTGCTGAACCCAGATTGAAGGATCTGGCTTCCACCTGTGGCTGGAGGGGTGTTTTACCACTCCCATGTACAGAGCTAATGACACGCTCATGGCTCTTGAGTGTGCCCCACTCTCAGAAAAATCTGGGCTAAAGGTGTTAAGAGTTTCCATTGGGTCAGGGAGGATAAAATGAAGCAAAGGCACTAACTGCCCTTCGAAAACTCCAGGAGGGCAGGGGCCTGGCTTTGTAGATTGGATAAGAACCGGAGAGGTGGTGCTTATTTGGGGGAACAACCTGGGTCGGCAGTGCCTCATGATCTCAGGTGCTTCCCCTGGGGACCAGCCCCAGCTTGCATGCTCCAGTGTGGAAGCCCCTGACAGAGGCTCGATGCTGGCAGCTCTTTTCTTGACCTTCTCCAAGACTGGACGGTGGTTACCACACTCTTCAGAGCCAGGCTAGTGGGCGCAGTGGTCCTAAGACCACATGGCTCAGGATTCCTTGGACACTCAGCTCTGGCCTTTTTAATAGAGGTTGGGCTTCTTCCCTTTCAGGCCTCAATCAGCAGAGTTCATGGAGGAAATGACTATTCATTTCCTTGGGACTTTGCTTAGGGCCTGACATGACTGAATCCAGGTTCATCTGAAGAATCGAGGTTGGGTCCAGGTGCACATGGTGCTCTAGTACTTGACTCAAGAGACTGCTGCCACCTTGGGGATAGGTTGAGAGGTGCCACCTGCTGCCTCAGTCTCCCCTTGTGTGTTTGGCGGGCACTGATGGGTAGGTCCTTTGTACAGGAGTACTGAGTCTGCAGGAATTCTCCAACATGGACCTTCGGGATTTCCACAAGTATATGAGGAGTCACAAGGCCGAGACCAGTGAGCTGGTACGAAACAGCCACCACACGTGGCTGTACCAGGGTGAGGGTGCCCACCACGTGATGCGTGCCATCCGCCAGAGGTGAGCATCTGAGGCTTTCCTCCCCCACCGCTGGCCTGGTACAGGGGAGATGGGGAACAGGGGCCCCTAACCCGGGTATGAGAGGACAAAATTGATTAGTTATTTCAAGATTATGTTTCACTTCTTTGACTAGAATGGGAACCTATTGGAAAGATAGGCAATAATTAACAGACAAATTAGCCCTACTTGTAGGCAATGACTATTCAATTGGGGTTAAAAATGGAAAATGTGTTTTTAGCTAATCAGAAGAAATGACTCCTTATCTCTGCTAAAAGATCTCCTGAATAACCTCTTTCCAGGGTAGGAGGGCGATGCAGTAGGGCCAGCAGACCTGGGTCTGAGTCCCACAGACTTAGTGGACACTCATCTTTTCTACTCAGTGGGTATCTACCATTGAGGGCAAAGGGCTCACCATAGATTCCTTTTATATACCTATTTGGCCAGTCTGGGATGGTTCAGGGCCTCCAGGGAAGGTGGGCAGGAGTGGAGATTGGGACAGGCCAGGGGTCCATCTTGGCCGGCTCCTTCAGGGTGCCCAGCCGACTGCCCGCTGCCCACCAGGGTGCTGCGTCTCACCCGCTTGTCACCTGAGATCGTGGAGCTCAGCGAGCCACTTCAAGTTGTCCGGTATGGCGAGGGTGGCCACTACCACGCCCATGTGGACAGTGGGCCCGTGTACCCAGAGACCATCTGCTCTCACACCAAGTTGGTGGCCAACGAGTCTGTACCCTTCGAGACCTCTTGCCGGCAAGTACTTTCTACCAGTGGGCTGCTTTGACCCCCGGAGCACGCACCTCGTGGCGCAGTCCTATCCTGTGGGCATGTCCCCTCTGCGTGGGGCCAGAGAACACGGAAGACATTTGGCTCCATAAAGCGCTTGTCTCCCTCTAAATTGTTTACCAAGTGACAGGATAGTGGTAGCTGTTAGGCACCTTGATCCCTCTGGTCGACAGAAACTGAGGTACCCACAGTCAAACTTGACCCTAGAGGTCTGAGCCAAGAGGAGAGACTGGTTTCCCAGTTCTTCCCACCCTCTCCCAGGTATTGATTCTGCCTCTAGTGCTGGAGGCTTCAGCTTCTCTCTCCTGTCCTCCCCTTTGCCAAAGTACAGAGGTAGATCTTCCCATATGGCTGCTCTGGTTCAACCCCTTGGCAGTCCTTGACCACTCCTGCATGACCTTACCGCTTCTGCTGCTTAGTCTACTGCTCCTAGTTGGACCCAGGGCCACATAGGTTAGCTAAATGCACCTGTGATCCTGCTAACAAAATCTGGCTTGTGGGAGGGAGATACTAGGGGCATCTTGGCATTGGCCTGGCCCTCTCGTCCCTGGGAACCCGGCAGCCTATCCTGCTCACAGGTGAGCCTCTGAGAATGCCATGTGGCTGGAGACTGGCTCAGTAGCCCCTCTGCCTTACAGCTATATGACAGTGCTGTTTTACTTGAACAACGTCACCGGCGGAGGTGAGACTGTCTTCCCTGTAGCCGACAACAGGACCTATGATGAAATGGTAAGGGCTGCCCGGGCTTTTACCCCCGGTCGGCTAGCCTGGCCTTGGACTCAACTTTCCTCCAGGCCTGGGAGGAAGGCCCAAGCACACCCCTGGACTTCTGGCCTTGGCTCCTGGCCATACAGTGGGGGTAGCCTGAAACCCCACCACCTTGCTGCCCACAGAGTCTGATTCAGGATAATGTTGACCTCCGTGACACTCGGAGGCATTGTGACAAGGGGAATCTGCGTGTTAAGCCCCAGCAGGGCACGGCAGTCTTTTGGTACAACTACCTGCCTGATGGGCAAGGTGAGTATTTGTAATCAGGCCTAGGTGTGCTAAAGAAAGCATCCCCTTACCCAGCCTCTTAGAGGGCTGTTTCTAGCCACTGCTAAATTGTATTTTGCCCCAGTCTACCCCATTCCCATCCCCTCCAGATCATCCTAACTGACCTCCACACAGAGTGTCTGAGCTTCTAGGTCATCTTGACCTGTTCTTCCCTACCCACTTACTCTCATGACCCTGGCCAACCCAAATTGGAGAGGGCAGTGAACCGGCCTGACATTGGGAAAGCTGGTCTTGGAGAGCCAGCGATAGGGACAAAACACTAGTTAATTGAGATGCTGAGGTCTCCAGAACGTCTTGGGCTCTGGTGTTTGCTACTTGAAGTGTACAAGGATGGGCCCTGAATAGTTGCACCTGAGGCAAGCATGGGCCAACCCAGCCTAGAACCCCTCCCAGCCTTTCCTTTGTTCACACCACCCTCCTCTGACAGGCTGGGTGGGCGACGTGGACGACTACTCCCTGCATGGAGGCTGCCTGGTCACGCGTGGCACCAAGTGGATTGCCAACAACTGGATCAACGTAGACCCAAGCCAGGCGCGGCAGGCGCTCTTCCAGCAGGAGATGGCACGCCTGGCCCGGGAAGGTGGCGCCGACTCACAACCCGAGTGGGCTCTTGATCGAGCCTATCGCGACGCCCATGTGGAGCTCTGAGGGGAAGATGTGCCTGGACCTCCCTCTCAGGGTGGCTGCCATCCCCCCACGCCTCGTCCTGATGCAGACCAAAGGCTTGGCCGATGTCTTGCCCACCCCCTGCCTCCAGCTGTTGATTGGAGCACAGTTCCTGTATTCATGTTATTTATTGTACACAGACCCAAGCTTTCCTGATAACATCAAATAAAATTATAACGGCTTCGAGCCACTGGCCAAATAAGGTAGAGAAGAGCTGGAGGGAGAGGAAGACTCGTGGTTCCAGCCAAGAGCCCTGTCGCGAGGTCACGTGAGGGGCAGAGGGAGGGCGGGGCCACCGGGAGGAGGCTTGTGATTGGACAGAAGCTGTGCTTGGGCGTCCCTCGGCGGCTACCTGTAGCCAAGCGCGCTGGAGTCAGTCTGCAACGCGGAGCGCGGGGAAGGGTCGATCTCGCGAGAGCGCAGCTCCTTTTCTTGGTGGCGACCACTGCATCTAAAGCTGGACATGGAGGCTCACGACGACTACGTGTGGCCGCGGGCCGCTTCGGAGCTCATACTTCTCCCGGTCACGGGCCTGGAATGCGTGGGGGACCGGCTGTTGGCGGGTGAGGTTTGGTTTGAGGCTCTGGCAGTGCTGTGGGGAACAAAGGGATGTCCGGGGGAGGGGGGAGGAGGAGGAGGAGGGACTGCGGGACGGGACCCCAGGAGGCAACGAGGACGAGGACGGGCCCAGGAGACCAAAACTGATATTCCTAATGCAGACCTTCCTGCACTGTAGGCTGCATGGACAGGGCAGGGGCCCCCCGGGAAAGGGCACGCTAACCAGTTACTTTTTTGGAGGAGGTTGTAAGGGTCTTCGAGAAGGTGGGGGGAGTGGACCTTTTAGGAGGTGGAGCAGGAGGATAAGCCCCCCTCGGGAGCGGGACAGAGCGTGCTGGGTGGGCGTGGCTTGGAGCGGGCGGGGGTGTGGCCTCTGCGGGGAAAGTGGGGGTGAAATTCAGGATGCTGGGGGGGTTGGGGCAAGAGGTGAGGGGAAGAAGTGGGAAATGAGACCTTGCCAAGCAGGACATAAGGCCCCTCCTGATATGGCCATCGAGGGTCGACGCCACTCTTCCTTACAGGAGATGAGGAAGCACAGGCAGCAGAGTCCAAGGTGATTTTCCTTAACATGCAGCCATTCTGGTTAAATTAGACACCCCCCACTTTTTTTTTTTTTTGTCTCAGCATCAGTGCTCCTGGAATTTTGGATCAGTTAATTCTTTTTCTGAGAGGCTGTCCTGATATTATCATCTCTGGTTTCTCTTCAGTAGAATCTGCCAAACTTGTAATGATGTTATTGTGTGATTTTTTTTAACCGAATTAACAAAGTTTATTTCGAGTTCGAACCCGGGCTCCCGCGTGCTGACACAGCAGCATCCACCCGAGAGCCGATTTTCTTTTTAAATTTGTGTTTGTGTATGTCTGATTAGTCTGGAAGAGCAGGGCTTATCAGTGCTCAATAACTATTTGTCAGATGATGAAAGATTGAGATTGCAAGTCAGAAGTGATAGAAGAAACGCTGCTGCTCTCAGAAGCACCAATCCTTGTCAGGATTTGTGAACCTGTTAGGAGAGATCCACTAGACTTGGAGCTAGGAAGCTGAGAGAGGATGAAGATGTTTGTAACAGGAGGATGGGTGACGGGTGTGATGTTCAGCAAGATGAGGAGCACCCAGAGAATCTGGGGAGGATGTCAGTGGAGCAGGAGGTACCTGCAGGATGGCCAGGAGGCAGCGGCTGTTGGATTCTGGAGATTTGAGTCAAGTATGAGGCTATCCAGAGCATATGATTGAAGAGTGAGGTGAGGTGCTAGACACACCTCTGGGAGACCAGTGTTTGGAGGTGATATACCCAGGAAAGCGTGTGGAAGAACACAAGGATAGCGTGTATCATGAAATGAGAAGTGAGGCTTCTGTAGCCTGGTTGACATGGTCTCAGTTCTGGGTCTTTTTCATCTATTCCTCTTGTTTTGTCCCTGCTGCTGCGGGGGCTCTTTGAGCAAGGCCTCCGTACACAGAACTGGACCTCACCCCATTGAAGGGCTAGAACTCAAAGACAAGCCTTTGCTGACACCAGTGTGTGGGGTGCTGCTCCTTGTTCTTGCCACTGAGCATACTTGTCAGATACAAAGAGGCTCCTGAACATCTGGGGGCGAGGTAGGTAGAGAGAGAGAGAGAGTGTGTGTGTGTGTGTGTGTGTGTGTCCCCGGCCACTGGCCAGGGAGAAAAAGGTTGCTGCAGCAGGATAGCCATTCCTGCGGGAGAGAAAGAAGGATGCTTAAACTTGTAAGATACAGAGAGGCTCCTGAACATCAGGGGGCGAGGTAGGTAGGGTGTGTGTGTTTGTGTGTATGTGTGTGTTAGGTAAGGGGGGGTGTGTGTCTCTCTCTCTCCCTGCTGGCCAGGGAGGAAAAGGTTGTTGCAGGATAGCCAGAAAAAAGAAGATAGCCAGATAGAAAGGACGGTGGATGTATAAAGAGAAAGATAAAGCCAAAGACTGAGCACTAGAGCTGAGTGAGTTGTGGTTTGAAGCATGAAAGACAGGCAGATAAAGAAGAGGCTTCACGGTTGAGGAATTCATGGCTGAATCGAACTGAGGAGCAGGCCAGAATGGAAAATGCAGCTGAAATTGACGCCAAGAGTTTCCCGAGGCTTATGCCTTTGGAATCGTAAGGAGCTCCAGTAGCTTAATGGTAATGAGTTATGCTATCAACCCAGAAGCATGTGGTTCAAATCAACCAGCTGCTCTGCATAAGAAAGATAGGCAGTTTCCTTTCATGCGATTCTTTGCCTCTGGAGACCCACGGGAGGTTCAGCTGTGTAGGATCTGACTTGATGGTACACATCACCACATAATAGGTTACCAGCTGACAGGTCCCTTCCCCACAGGTCATCAGCATTAGGTGGGAGGTTCTGATGTAGCTGTTTGTCTCCATCTAGGTGAGGGGCCGGACATCCTGGTGTATACCTTGGACTTTGCTGGGCACCTGCAGATGATGAAGCGAGTCCAGAACCTCCTCGGCCACTATCTCATCCATGGGTTCCGGGTTCGGCCAGAGCTTGACGGAGACTTGGAGTCCCAAGCTGTGATAGCTGCATTTGGGAGCAAGGGGCTCCGAGTGGTGAAAGTTAGCTGGGGGGAGGGCCGCTTCCGGGAGGTCTGGCGCTCGGGCCTGTGGAACATGTCTGACTGGATCTGGGACGTCCACTGGCTGGAGGAGAATGTGGCTGTGGCTCTGGGCCACAATTCAGTGGTGTTCTATGACCCTGCGTTGGGTCGCACCCTTCAGGAGGTGCACTGCACAGACAGGTGCACCCTCTCCTCTGCCTGTCTGATTGGCAACACTTGGAAGGAGCTGACCATGGTGGCGGGTGCCATTTCCAATGAGTTGCTGGTCTGGTACCCAGCAGCCACCTCTGAAAATGAGCCTGTGGCACCTGACCGGCGGGTCAGCGGGCATGTGGGTGTCATTTTCAGCATGTCATACCTGGAGAGCAAAGGTTTGCTGGCCACAGCTTCAGAAGATCGAAGTGTCCGCATCTGGAAGGTGGGCGACCTGCGGGTGCCAGGGGGTCGAGTACAGAATATTGGACACTGTTTTGGCCACAGTGCCCGCGTGTGGCAGGTCAAGCTCTTGGAGAATTATCTCATCAGCGCAGGAGAGGACTGTGTGTGCCTGGTGTGGAGCCATGAAGGTGAGATCCTCCAAGCATTTCGGGGCCACCAGGGCCGGGGCATCCGGGCTGTAGCTGCCCATGAGCAGCAGGCCTGGGTCATCACTGGGGGTGACGACTCAGGTATCCGGCTGTGGCACCTAGTAGGCCGTGGGTACCCGGGCTCGGGAGTCTCAGCTCTCTGTTTCAAGTCTCGTAGCAGGACAGGCACCCTGAAGGCTGTAACGCTGGCTGGCTCTTGGCGAGTACTGGCGGTGACTGATACAGGCACCTTGTACCTCTATGATCTCGAGGTCAAGTGCTGGGAACAGCTGCTGGAAGATAAGCGCTTCCAGTCCTACTGCCTTCTGGAAGCAGCCCCTGGGCCCGAGGGCTTTGGTCTGTGCGCCATGGCCAGTGGGGAAGGCCTAGTCAAGGTCGTCCCCATCAACACTCCAACTGCGGCAGTGGACACAGTTCTGTTCCAGGGGAAGGTGCACAGCCTGAGCTGGGCCCTCCGTGGCTATGAGGAGCTCCTGCTGCTGGCCTCGGGCCCAGATGGGATAGTGGCTTGTCTGGAGATTTCAGCTGCACCCTCTGGCAAGGAGATCTTTGTCAGTGAGCGTTGCCGTTACCTGCTGCCCCCAAGCAAGCAGAGGTGGCACACGTGCAGTGCCTTCCTGCCCCCAGGCGACTTCCTGGTGTGTGGGGACCGCCGGGGCTCTGTGCTGCTGTTTCCTACTAGACCAGGTCTGCTCAAGATTCCTGGGGTGGGAGGCAAGGCTGGGACGACAGTACTCGCTATAAGTGGTGGGGAAGGGGGCACCCCAGCCGAGTGGAGCCCTGTGTCCATACTTCATTCGCTGCATGGGAAGCAGGGTGTGACCTCGGTCACCTGCCATGGTGGTTACGTGTATACCACAGGGCGCGATGGCTCCTATTACCAGCTTTTTGTGCAAGGTGGCCAGCTGCAGCCAGTCCTCCGGCAGAAGTCCTGTCGGGGAATGAACTGGCTGGCTGGGCTACGCATGGTGGCTGACGGAAGCATGGTCATCCTTGGTTTCCACTCCAATGAGTTTGTGGTCTGGAGCCCCCGGTCACATGAGAAACTGCACATTGTCAACTGTGGAGGAGGCCACCGTTCCTGGGCCTTTTCAGATACAGAGGCTGCAGTGGCCTTTGCCTTCCTCAAGGATGGGGACGTCATGCTCTACCGGGCCCTGGGTGGGTGCACCCGACCACATGTGATTCTCCGCGAGGGTCTGCATGGCCGAGAGATCACCTGTGTGAAACATGTGGGCACCATCACCCTGGGGCCTGAATTTGAGGAGCCCAACCCAATGCAGCCTGACCAACCAGAACCTGGCAGCAAGGGGCCTGAGCTGATTGATATCGTCATCACCGGCAGCGAGGACACCACTGTCTGTGTCTTGGCCCTCCCCACGACCACGGGCGCAGCCCATGCACTCACGGCAGTTTGCAACCATATCTCCTCGGTTCGCACTGTGGCTGTGTGGGGCGTTGGCACCCCAGGTGGCCCACAGGATCTTCAGCCAGGCCTGACAGCCCGTGTGGTGTCTGCAGGGGGCCGGGCTGAAATGCAGTGCTTCAGCATCTTGGTCACCCCGGACCCCAGCACCCCAAGCCGCCTTGCCTGCCACATTATGCACCTCTCATCTCATCGGCTAGATGAGTACTGGGACCGGCAGCGAAATCGGCACCAGATGATCAAGGTGGACCCAGAGACTAGGTGAGGAGTAGGGGTCTGGGATGGGGTCCTACAGGGCCAGCCCCAGGCTCACCAGCCCAAGGTGACAGTTTTGTGGTATTGGCTGCAGGTACATGTCCCTGGCCATTTGTGAACCTGACCCAGCTGGCCCTGACTCTGATCCCCTTGTGGCTGCAGCCTGTAGTGATGGGGCAGTGAGGTAAGTGCCTAAGACAGGGGAGCTGGGAATTGACTACCCAGGAAGAGTGTTGAGTTTTGTTCCCACAATCCTGTCCCCCAGGCTCTTTGTCTTGCAAGACTCTGGGCGGCGGCTGCGGCTTCTTGCTGAAACTTTCCACCACAAGCGCTGTGTGCTCAAGGTTCACTCCTTTACCCATGAGGCATCCAGTGGGCAGCGGTGAGAAGGCTGGGTGAGGGTCTGCATGAGTTGAGTGGATGTGGCCATTACCTCCTTTCCCTCACTCACCTGCCTGACCCTCTTGTCCTCAGGATGGTGTTCCTGTGCAGCGCAGCCACTGATGGAAGCTTGGCTTTCTGGGACCTCACCGCCGTATTAAACAACGGCTCCACAGCCCTGGAGCCCCCAGCGGAGCCTGGGCTTCCTCACCGTGAGTGCCTGCCTCCCCCACACCCAGCCCTTCACCTTCACACATGAAACAGGCTGACTCCTGACAAGTTCCTTCTTCCCCAGAGCTTGGCAACCCCTGCCTCACCATCCAGGCCCACAACTCCGGTATCAACAGCCTTCATACCTTGCCCATTGATGAAGGCCACCATCTGGTGGCTAGCGGCAGTGAAGACGGCTCTCTTCACGTCTTCGAGCTTGCTTTTGAGATGCCAGAGCTGGAAGAGGCCGCAGGGGAGGCTGTGCAACAACCCGAGCTGCATGTGCTAGAGGATTACACTGTCCCTTTTGCGCATGCTGCCCATGTGACAGGTCTCAAGATCCTGAGCCCAAACCTCATGGTCTCAGCCTCCATCGACCAGCGGCTGACCTTCTGGCGTTTGGGGCATGGTGAGCCCACCTTCATGAACAGTGCTGTGTACCACGTGCCAGACGTCGCGGATATGGACTGCTGGCCTGTCAGTCCTGAGTTTGGCCACCGCTGTGCTCTTGGGGGTCAGGGGCTTGAGGTGTATAACTGGTATGACTGAGGTGTCTTGAAGTAGCTGGCATGCTCGACATGGGGTCTGCTCACAGACACCGTGCAACAGTGATTGTGCCTGTGTCCAGTGTGCCTTAAAGGGAAACAGGCAGCACAGAGTCCAGGCTTCAGAGCAGGAGCTTGAGGTCAGAGTGCAGCCTGGGCAGACTAAGAATGTATCCCCTGCCCCCCGTGCTCCACAACTGGACAGAGTTTTTTAACAGCAATTTATTTTGGCTTTAGGCTCCTGACAAAGCTATGGGGCTTGGTTTTGTGGTTCGTTGGTCTATCTTTCAAATATCTGTGATTCTGTGAACATTCCCAAACATCAGGACCTTGTGACTTCAGATGTGGTTCAGTGGAGGGAGGCCCAGCATGGCCAGACCTGAGTGCAGCACTTCACGCACGGCCCTCAGAAGCTGTAGGCGGGCGAACATCTGACCAAAGAGGTGTGGTCGTGGTTCCTAGAGAAGAAGGGCTACTGGTCTCATCCTGTTTCCCCTTAGACCCAACTTGTACTTTTCATGCACCCCTTCTTGATATAAGCTTACCCCTAGGACGTGTACGCGGTTATAGTATGAGCTAAAGTCCATGCTGAGCTGCACCAGGAACTTGCACACCTGGAAACAAGTCAAGTGTGTCCCGTTTCAGAATAAAGAAGTGTGTGTGTGTGTGCGCGCGCTGTCTGTCATGGTCTGTGCCTCACCAGCTCTGTCCGTGCAGTGATATGGAGCCCCGGGACCGTGTGAGCCAGGGCTGCAGTCTGGCTCAGCAGGTCTGGGAAGGGGAAGACACCATTGAAGAGCAGCAGCCACTCACCCTGTGAAAGAGAATGTGCTGGAGGGAATAGGCCCGGCCTCTGCCAGCTCCCCAAGTGGGGCACTCACCTCATCATGCAGCAGTGAGAAATCCAGGCTGCTCACGGACGGAAAGGTGGGGTACAGACCCTGTTGCACGCTGTGTTTATAACTTTCAAAAAGTGTGGCGAGACGGGCACAATTATACATGACAAAAGTGCCACTCTTGGTGCCCTTCGTAGATATGTTGCTGTCGGCCACGGTTAGGAGGAGCTGGAGGACAGCAGCACAGCTGCGGTGAGGGACAGCAACAGCCACAGCCCAGCCAATGTCTTGTGGGGTGCTAGGCTCACCTGACTCTGTGGGGAGGTGCTGAGCATCTCAAATTTGATGGTTGCCACGGCAAGAATCCCAAAGATCTCTGTCCACGCTGGGTCTGAGGAAGTAGAGCTCAGTCATTCTCTGCAGGGAACAAGGAGGATACAAGTGATTTGTCCCCCCACCTAGAGCACAGCAGTGTCTCCCAGGCACACCTTGTGTCAGATGGTTGCCATGTTTGAGTGCTGAAGCCTTGTGTACCTGGGCAAGTCGAAGCCTGGATTTGGAGAAGAAGAGGGCTAGCAGGCACAATCCCAGTGGAGACCCCTCTCCCCCCATCTTAACTACAGTAGCTCAGATAGCTTTCTTTACAGTCTCACTCACTCATAGTACTGGGGGGCAGTCAAGGTTCCAGGACCATCAGCTACTTTCACTGGACCACAGATCAGGTGCTTCTGTCCGAAAGATGACAAAGGTTCACTATGCTCCAATAAAGCCCTCCCAGATTGAAAGCATCTACTCCACCAGGACTTCAGCTTAACTGCCCTCAGTCAAGAATCTCCCTCAAAACAGCCAATCAGGACACAGTCCAGACTCTACCAATTCAATGAGGGTTAGATGGGATGGACCCCTGGGCTTCGAGGGTCCAGAAACGATAGTGAGTTCCCACCTGTCTGAGTGGAGCCTGATCATCCAGTTTCCACCAAAGCAGGTCTAACTTTTGTTGCTGGAATTCCTCCTCACAGTTTACTACATGCACGACAGTACAGATGTCTGCACCAGAATCTGGGGACCCAGCCTAGAAAGGACAGTCACATCAGGGACAACAGGACACCTGCCTTACTGGAGGACTACAGGGCATTAGTTGCTAACCAGGCTTGGGGAGCTGTCCTCAGACCAATTCCTGACAGCATTCTGCAGCTCAGCCAACGTAGAAAGAAGGTCTTCAGTGACTGCAAAGAAGACAGCCCTTGAAGCTGGTGGGGAGTGCAGGGGATGGCACCACTGGCGCCTTAGATCTGCCCCCACCCCCTGGAAGGGTTCATGTCCTACCCAGACAGTTGTCTAGATTGGGATCATAGCCAGCTGCGAGGCCATGCACTTCCATCAGCTCTTTCAAGCATATTCTGCCTAGGATGCCGGGGGTCAGGGCATCCCCGTCTTGGGTAGGAGCCAGCTCAGCAAGCGCGCGGCTCCTAAGGGCTTCGGTTGCGGCTCGCTCGGAGGCAGCAGGCCAGTCCACTCGCAGTTGCTGCAGGAAGGTTCGCATGTGTGGATCCCGTGCGGCGGGCACCAGGCGCACATTCACCCTGCGATGGGAGGGGTGGTCACCTCAGCCAGCGCACATGGCCTGGGTTTTCCCCAACTTTCCGCTCTTGGCGCATTCCCGAGGGCGGTGCCACTCTACGTCCCCCGAGGTCCAGCCTTCTCCGCTTGGGCCCCGGTCCAGCTCACCCGCGAGCGCGCAGGGCTCGTGCCAGATGATCGGTCACGAGAACAGCACGCAGCTGGCTTAGGCGGAGCGCACAGGGAGCGCCCCGCACCGCCTCGCAGTGGAGGACGACATGCGGACCGGGCGTGGAAGGCGCGGCGGGCGCGGCGTAGGCGGCCACCGAGTTGAGAACGTGCTCAAAGACAGCCGGCCGCCGCAGCTGGAGCTCCAGACCCGCGGGCGTGGCGGCGCAGCTCAGCACCGGGGCGACGCCGGGGCCCTGCAGGCCGGTGACAGCACTGACTACGGGCTCGGGTACCTGCAGGTGGGCGGGTGGACAGGTGAGCGGGCCTGATGCCCCTTCTCCCCCGGTCCGCGCGTCTCCGCACGGCCTGCGCTCACCTGCTCCGTTCCGAGGCGGGCCTGGAGCGCGCGCCGAGGCGCCAAGAAGTCTCGAGCGCGCAGGTGGCGAGCGCGCGTCTCCTTAAACCACAGGGGGCCACCAGGCCCCAGGGCAGCATTAAGAGCCCCCAAAGTCTCCTCGACCCCAAGGCGCATCGTCGCCATAGCGACCGGAAAGGCACGAGCGGAACCGGAAGCATAATGTTGGGAGACCGAACTTCCGGGAAAAGCAGTTCAGCAACAGTAAAGACAGGTGCGGCTTAGCGGGCAGTGATACCCGCTCCTCACTTGTCCTCTCCAGTGCTCCTGCATATTGTCCCTCCTCTGCCGTGCCCTCCCGGAGCCCAGGCCTCATCCCTTCACCACCACTTCGCATTAGGAACTAGGCAAGGGCTCTTTGGATGAGAGTGCCCGACTTGTATCTCTTTCAATCATTCTTCGAAGTCTTTCACTATTTGTCTCTTGTATTTGTGTGTTAATTTCCCCCATGGGGCATGTGATTAAAAACGCCAAATGTCCTAAATGTGACTTATTACTGGGATAAGAGAGCTAACCGTAAAGCCATTTTCATCCGACTCAGAAACTAAACTCTTTTCTATTGAGTAGCTTTTGATTTGGCGACCCTAGGATTCCAAGGATATAGATTGCTACATTATTCCTGAGGCTGGTAGGTTCAAACCACCAACCTTAGTCAGCATCCCAGCATTTCTACCACACCAGGACACCTTAAAGCGGCGGTTTCTACCAAATACATATTTTTTTTTTTTACTGTGCTGTGATTTCACGTTATTTGCAAACATTTGTTGAGATCAATTGCCTTTAGTCCTGCTCAATTCCCGCTGATAGGATTTTTTCCTCTTCTTGAAATGTGGACATTTCGGCCCATCATTATATTATGGATGTATCCCGAATTCCCTATTCCTAATGCTTTTGAAGCTGGTGTACTCTTAATAGCAATCATCTCAATTTGTTTCAAGCAATGAACTGTTAGGACGGTAACAATTATGACTGAGAACCCACATCTGGCAATGATAGCTCTCTACCAGCAAGGCTGTCCTTTGTATCAACAAGACTCCCGAATGCCTTCATTTCGATGCCATTTTAACTCCTAGTTTTATTTTAATATAGATTGAACCCCAAAGAAGCACAGAGCACTGGGAAATCCCATGAGCCCTGCCCTGGAGTGGTCTTGAGCTGGAAGGATAGGAAACTCTTGGCAAAACTCCT